TAGAGCAGGGTTTTATGAAATACAAATCTATTTTCCTTGCATGTTGTTTGTAATTTGTAAAATGCAGATGGCAATAAAAGCTCCTTTTCTTATCTGGAAAAATTCCTTGTTGAGTGATGTTGTGAAATGAAAGAGCAGTTATTATCTTCTAACTTAAAAACATATATGCAGTAATTTCTCTATTAAATATGAATAAAATGTATCCTGTGCATCACTTATGTTCAGTTCCTTCAGCCTGCTTAGGATGGAATGTCACATTTATTAACCCAGTTTAAAGAAAATCTATATTCGTGTCTCTGTATTGAATGCCAGCTCACAAGATTTACTACAGCTTCATGGGGAAGTAAGCGATGGAGGATAAACAGGTTGAAACTAAGACCTTCTTTGACTCAGTTCTGTTCCATCAGGATTCCTTCATGAGCTGTGAACAATCATAACATATGAACCCGTTCTGCATCTGGGATATTCCTCAGGAACTAAATTGCAGTGGGCTTTTTCCTCCATAAAATTTTAACTAGTGGTAGTTCTCTAAAAATGTCAAAAGTTCTGAAAAGTGCACAAGAGCAAGAATTTAAACTATTTTCTCCAAACTAGCCCCTCAGTGTCTAGATAAAGAAATAATCTAATAAAAAAATGAGAATTAATTATATCTGTGATTAGTTTTCATTCAATAAAGATAAAATTTTCAGTGTAAAACTCAACCACATACTGCCTATGGATTTAATAAGATAGGATAATAAAACCAAATTCAGTCAGAATACAATATCTAGAGGTGATGTAAACTTTGTCAAAGTTACGTGACTTGTCACGTGGATTTTGTGAATTTTGTCCAACCATATTCTACAATGACTTTCAACATTGTGTAAATTCTCTGTGGAGTTCTGTGACTCAGAAAAGATCCAATGTATAGGCAAGCATAAAAAACAGTCTATTAATTTAATGTGAGAGAATAAAGAAAAACTGAACTATATGAATAGAGAACCTTGAAAGATGCAAAAATGTATTTGGTCTCACCGTAAGTACTCGATTCACTGTCTCCTGCTGTGGTGGAAAGAATTAACAGAACTGGCTGTCTTAATGTGAATCAATAGAGTATTATAGGGGAAAAAATATGAAATGGGCCAGGCAAGGAAAAACACACTTATAGCATGCTTATTGCATCTCTCCTGCAACTATCTCCCAAAATGCTTTTGAGGTGCAGTAATGGAGGGAGATAAGGAATTTTTTTTTTTCTCTTGAATATGTCCTGCATAACTTCTTGGAAAGAATAGAGGTTTCCTTTCCTTTTCAAAATGTAAAGTATGGTGGTAAAAAAAGTGGTAAAACTGAAAGGAGAAGGTTGGCCAAATACGTTTCTGCAATAATCCTCAACCAATAGTTTGTATTAGTAACTTTTAACATTTTTTTTTTCAAACTCAGATATAGGAAGTTATATATTTAATTTTAAGTTTACCAAGATTAGTTCTATGTTTACTGGTTAACTGTAAGCCTACAAACTGGTGCCTTTTTTTTCCCCCTAAGGAGCTGTGAGTTGGTGTCAGATGCAAAGTATTTCCTGTGTAGGAATATCCTTTTACTGCTGGTATTCACTTCAGTAGTACATTATTGCAAACATCTGGAGCACAGCAGAAAAACACTGTCTGGATTCTTTCCTAAATCACCTCAGTAAGGATAGTCTGAGCTAGAGAAATGACAGAGTAAATGACTAACCCAAACATGGAAAAGGACTAGAGTACAGTAGCAAGAATACAAAGGTAAAAAATGCAATTCTTTAACCTGACGACCCACAGTGGATTTATAGAGCCTTTATCTCAAAGCTCACTCCAGCTACTGCAATTCAATAAACTATTTCTTCTGTGTCATACACCATAAAGCAAAGGTGAACGCTCACACATTCAAGGCTTTAATTTTAGATTGATGAATTATCTTTTGACAGACAATGAATCTCTGCCATTCCGTCCTCCAGTCCCCAGATTCAAATTACGTTAAAAGCCATGGTGCAAACAAAGAGAAAGAAGACAGAAACATAAATGGGAAGGATCCATTACTCACTGATGAACATTGGGCTGGACTGTGTGCATGCCAAGTAGTCCCTTGATGTACTGACTCTTGTCCAAGACAAGGCACAAGAAAACACTGGTTCTGTCCTCGCCTTGCTGGACTGGACTTAGGACACTACAGACCCAAGCAGCCAGGGCACCAGCTAGAATCTTCAAAATGATGAAAAAATATTCTTATTCTAAATTCAGATAATTATGGTTTTAAATCAGTGAGCTTTCCAATTTGCTAGTATCATCTGTTACTCACACAGACATTTATGCTTTTACTCTATGTTTTTTTTTTTTAATTGTTATTACTTGAAATAATATTTTCTGTAAAATGGTCTCCTTGTGAATTTCCACCATCAATTTACCTGGAATCTGTTACATCATTTCTTGTACTCTCTCAAGACCTATGACCTATCTTCAAAATGTCAGTTGCACAATGATGCATTCAGATATTCTATCTAATACTTCCCTGAAAAGTCATGTCAGGTATTTTCAAAGAAGCAATGTTTTCAGTGGATATCCAAATGTCCAATCCACCAGTCTAATTCAAACAAACTGGAATTATTATTTACCTCAGCTTTGAATTTGTTCTGGAGAATTTGCAATTCTCTCCAGTTGTCCTGGGAAAACTCACAATTCCCCTTCTCCCTAGGTAAGAACTATTGCTAACAGAAAACTTTGGATCAAGGGCATGCCATTTGTTTTCTTGATAATTACCACCAGTCCATTATTAGCTAGTGATTTAGAAGAAAGAGTCCTAGAGCCTGTGAAATTTGGATTATAATCTCATCTGACAGGTAAAGAAAAAACAACACAATGAAAACACATGAAAACCAGCACATAAACAACTTTTTCAGGTATTTGAATATCTATTTGCTTTCAAAACAATGGAATAGTTTCTGATATTTTTAGCAAGCATCAGGTAAAAGCAGCAGAATTCCAGTGGCAGCCAAAGGCACTTCTATCTCTTTTCTGGGTTTTTTTAAACATGACATAACATTTCAAAAATCTGGAACAGAATCCAGCTCAGAATGAATTTTTCCATTCAAATATAGACTGCTTTTTCACCAACCAAGCCTGGTAACTTTATTAATAGTAACCACTTGATTAGTAGGTAACATGTAGAGAGAGAAAAACAGGCTAGTTCAACTTTGAGAAAAGCTCCAATAATTAAATTTATAATTCACATGCTTGAGCTTTATTACCTGAAGGTCTGACTCCCAGTCCATGACCCTAGTTTAAAGATGGAATCAGTTTGGTCTAAACATCTGTAAAATTGTTTCGCAACAGTCCTTCAGTAGGTCCGATCTTATCTTTTAGCAGAAATATTCAATTCCTATGAAAGCCAGATGACAAGAAAACTCTGTCTTAAATTCCCTAAAATGTGCTCTGGTTTTATGCCACTGTCATTTGGTTCTGTGGGAATTCAACACCATACACGAGCTACTGTGTTAAAGGGAACTTATCTCTAACCCAGTACACATACACTTCTGTTCCTGAGGTCTCAAATTATACAGTTTTTGTGGTTTTAAAGCAGTAACTAAAAAAAAAAAATTACTAGAAAACTTACTTATTTCTTAATGTGAGATATGGATTAGAACAAGAGCAGAACAGGTTTAAAACTTAAAAGGAATAAAGAAAGTTTATTAACAAAAACTACAAGAATAAGAAACCACACTAAAACTTCCAGAACAACTCTTTTCTCTCCCACTACCCAACCATTCTTTTGTTCATATGGCAACATAGAGACAAAAAACTTGGGTGATTAAAACAGTCTCAATTCTTGCTATAGTCTTTTCATCAGCTTTTGTAGAGAAAAAGAAGTCCTCTTTTGTTAATCTATGGAATTTATCACAAGAAAACTACTTCTGTTATAGCTTTCTATTTTTCTGATGTCAGCTGCCTGGAAATCCTGTCATCACTTCACTCCTCCCATTTCACATCACTCTGAGGCGTGTTATGGGTCAAATGAGTCTAGGGATGTCATTTTTAAGGATGAGTTATTCAAAGGCAAAAGTTCTCTTCATCTGTTTTTGTGAGCCTGTCTGGAAACAGAAGTTTTCTCTTTGCCTCTTAAAGGCCACAAAATCTTCAACTATTACTTTCTCCCCCCTCCCTGTTCCAGCATTTTACAGGATCACAACCACTTCACCATTTGTTAAAAATCCACACTTTGAAACACTCTATTCCTCCCAATATACTCTGTCATGAATTAAAGTTTTTTCAGAACACTACTGTCCATCTCCATAGCTTTAACAGAAATATTTTCAGTTTATTAAAGCATCTCCTTATTTTCTCTTCCCCTTTTAAAACTTAATTCCTTTCTTCACCGTTTTTGATAGTTTCTGGTGTCTCCTTACATGTTAATTACTCCCTCTCTCTTTCTCTCTCTGGAAAAAATGATTAATCTGCAAGTCTCATCTAGGTAATGAAAAGATTAAAATCTTGCCCAGGCTTTGTAGATGGTTCTGTGATCTCTGCTGGAGCAGCAACTGGAGCTGTCTGTGATGGAAGATTCTTCATGGCTGCTCTGCAGAGTGTGGTCACTGTCTCAGCTTGCCGCAGGTCAAGAGCTTTTTTTCTTTCTTTACTCGGCAGTCTCTGGTGAATTCAGTCACAGCAAAAAAACTGCAGCCGAGCCAGGGACCGGCCTGGCCCGGCCCGAGCCCGGGGCAAGCCCCGCAGGCCCCATCTCCCGGCCGGGAGCCGCGGCAGGCCCAGCCCAGCCCCTGCCTGGGCCGCATGGCCTGGCCAGGGGATGGGAAGCCAGCTAAAGCTCTGTTACCTTTCACAGCCAGGAAACAAAGAGACAAAGAAAATCCCAGGCTTAGGTCTTAATGTGGTGTTCACAGGTTGATCTCACTTTTCAATGGTTAAAACTGCTGTCAATTGTCAGAAATGGCCAGTTATTGGCCAGGAGAAAATCTCCCATCAGCCTCCAGCAGTTTTATTTTCCTTAGGTGTTTCTCTTTGTTTTCTTAAATGCCAATCTATCACAACAGTCTCTCTTAAATTATATTGCTGAATACTTCTAGCTAACCAGTAAGGATACCTAAATTAATTTTGCTGCAGGTGTAAAGTACCATATTTAGTAATTTACCGTATAAATCTCTCCTATATTGTTCATAGCATAGAAAAATAGTAAATATAATTAGTATTGAATATTCTTGCCTGAAAAGATCTTACATGGAATAACTTTATTATGAAAAGAAATTTAAAAAGTATAGTGCAGTGAATGGAAAAAAATTTCCACATATAATTTACAATCTGAAAGGTGGTGAAAATCCTGGGTTTATGCATTATTTTGTGTAGGAACAGCAAATAGGCTTCTCTGGTATCCAAAGATTAGTAAAGGAAGAACAACCTGATTTTTCTTTCACCCTTGTTATTACTCAATCTCTTAATATTTGAAGATAACGTTTTGAAGTTTTTTACACCAAATCAGATTTCATCTAGAGATAAAATGGTGAAGATCAGAAGGCATAATATAAATATGCTCATTTGTGCCTCTCTGATAATTTCTATTATATTTTCTGCACTTGCAAAATAACTCATCAGTAGTGTGCTTCACAAACCCAGAAAGGCCCATTTAAATTTACCTTTGTAAATATGTGACTTCAACCTTGTCAGTATTTGAATGAAAAAACAGTCAAACAAACAACAAAGAAAGAGCTACAAAGGCAACTTCTTAAAACTGCTCGATTTTGCGAATTGTTTGAACCTGTTGATTGAAGTCTCCATAAATATTTTATAGGACTGGCCTTATGCTTCAGAAGTTACTAAAACTAGGGGCACTGGAGGCAAATACAATACTACATTTGTGTTATCTGATAAAATGGATGATCAAGCCAACTGTTAGACAGTTTACAGCTAGTTTGGTCTTCCTCAACCTACTACAGAGACCATCTCTCCTTCTTCAGTGAAGTTTGAAGAAGTTTTTTTCTTGCTTTGACAGATACTGGAATCTATATTCCCTTTCCTAAATTTCCATTTCACTGTGCCTTCTCTTAAATTCACACATGAACCCAAGTTGTACAGAAATTGGTGGGCTGATAACTTGCATTTATGATTTTGGGATCCAAACATTTTGCTACTGCACAAGGCAAGTAAAAAAAAATTGCATTTATAAACTCAGTCCAGTTGGTGTAGAAGCCAAGGACCTGAGGTCTCGAGGCCCATCAGGTGAAGCCGATTTTTAGGAGTGTGCTTAGACTGGACAGACTGCTCTGTTCTCAGTTTACCCCCAAGTCGAGGCAGAAGTCCTTTTACTGTTGTGCAGGTTGCATAAGGGAGTAATATATCTATGCAGGTTCAATCAGTAGAGGGAGAAACAGAAACTTGTAACTTTTGCCTTGTTTAAGATTTTTGACACTTACTTCTGTTTTCTGTGACAGGAAGGATGTAATTATTGTGGGTGTTTATTGAAGAAGTGAGGAAAAAATGCATTCCCATTCCCACAATCCTCTCCAACAATCATTTATTCTGAGGTGTTTAAATTTTTATCAAGCCTTGGCTTTTATATGATGATGCCTTTTGAAGGTGGTAGGTCTGTTGTTATGGTGCAGGAGTTTATTATAGCTGAATTGTTTTTTGCATGTCATAAATTCTAAGTCTTTGCACTCACCAAGCTAAGGAGTAAAAGATGAGTATAAACTGTACAATAAAAAGAGGTAAGTGTAAAATATCATCTCTTTGATTTGACATCATCTTTGACAGGACTTTATATATATACAGATATAAAGAAAAGACTCTCAAATCAAGGTGCAAAAAATTTCTGTACAGAATTAACTGCTATAGCTTTTCTTATGTATCATTGGGTCTGAGGTGACTCAGCTTTGTTTTTCTGCAGCACTGCCAAATTACTGCCTAACAAGCATTAGAAGTCTTGGTAACTCAGTTTCTCTTAAATTTTTTCTTACAAAAGATTAGCACTTTTTAAAATATATTCACTATCGCAACTGTGTTTTATTTAACCCTTGTACCGCTTCCTGTTCTTGTGGAAATTAAACACTAGAGCAGGGATTAGACACGGGACTTTGAACTCCTAGCAAGAAATTCTGATATATGGGATCAAAGCCTCACAAGCTCTGAACACCTTTTAACTGATGCTTACAGATTGGCAACTGGCATTTCTAAAGTTTCTAGACAGCTCAAAACCCCCTCAGTACCTCACTCTAATGAAAAGTGCCCTATGGACTTCAGAATAGGCTTTGTCACACAAAAGCCATGTACTGGATCCACTGAAACAAAGAGGATCAACTTCAGAACTCCTGAAGAGCAAGGCCAAAGGCAGCCCGAGGCCACCTGAGACAGGGGGGACAGAGAGTTCTATGGCTGTGTGTATGCTGGTCCCAGGAGGTGTGCTTGACTTGCAGGTAGGACTCAAGCACCTTCTGAAATAGGCACAGAGGATAAAGATTCTTCCTTTTGGAGCAAGGCATCTGGGCTTCCCTAAGAGTAGATACTTAGATTCCTAGCTTTCCTAAGTACCGATGCTTGAGAGGCCATAGACTCGCATTTGGGTCACACCTGGCAAGCATTCTGTGTGGAAAGGAGTGAAAATGAATATTAACGATTTGTTACACTCTTTCCCCCTAGCTTCAGTGGTTGAAATGTCTAAAACCCAGGATTTACAATTTGCAAGTTATGCAAAAGCTCAAACATTCTTTTGCATCAATACATCATCAATAGGATAAAACTCACCTGGTTCTTCAAGGCCTACTTCAACTAACATTCCCTATTACTGGGTCTAGTACTAGGTCAATTTACCTTTTAAGGATTGAGCTGTTTTCCTTTAGAAATTATTATATCCTTAAAACTTTAAAAAAAACTTTAAATTTTAAAATAGGAAACAAAGCTTCATGAAACTAAGTATATAGTCTGTATTTTTGCCTGTTGTCATATAATTTGGGTACTATTGCAACACCATGATAAAAGTTGAGAGTAGAGTCTAAATGTGCGAAGAAAGTCTGTCAACCCAATATTTTTAACTATTTGGTTGGTTGACACACTTAGTGAAATGAATCATATGAGAACTTAAGCAAACAGACAACATGGATTCACTTTTTACTAAAAAGATAGTTCCATTCTTAGGCTTCTGCTTCCCTTTAATGCAAAGCAGTTGACTTGAGGAGAAAAAGCATTGGCTCTGCTGTGTGGCAAGGTGGGATACTTGAAACTTTTCAATATCCTGGCACATCATTCTTTGGAAGATGTCCAAAGTACTCCTGTTTTATTCCAGCTGGCATGTAACATACTCTTTCCACTGTTAAGACCCAAGAAAGTTTACTCAGAAAGTGTATAAAATTTAGTTGCATCAGGAACAAAAATATTTTTTCTTCTTTTAGTTTTCTTCTTTTTTTTCTTTTTTTTTTGGTCTAATGACAGTATTTCTGTCTCCCAAAATAATTTTATTCATAGGGATTTGTTCCTTCTGACCTCATTCTGGTGGAATTTTGAATACTTAAGGAGAATAATAAACCTTGAGGTTGTGTGTGTCCATGTTGTAATAATTTTGAGATTCTTTTGTGCATTATCTTCAGTTGAAGTAACACATCAAGAAAATAAAGATTCATTTTACACATAAATTCTAATCTACTCTAAAAATTGAATTCATACAATGGCTAAGCTATAATCTCTAACAGTTTTATTGAATGAAAGCTTTTACTTTAGATCAAAATTACTGGCTATCTATGAATATATTATATCAAATACTGAATAATACACAAAACAGACTTTTGACAATGATAAGCAGGTCACTGCCCTACTCTTGAGGCTGTAAAATCATACTGCTATCTCCTCCCTATGACCTTAGGAATGTTCTCTGTGAAACTCTGAAGAGCCCTCCTGCAACTCAGAGTGGCTTCTGGACTCCCTTCCACAGTTCATATACCTTGGAGTTGATGTTACAATGGGTACTCAGATGAGAACAGACCAAGAATATCTTTGGAATTATTTTTGATGAAGCAAAGTTTTCCTGAAGTCTGTAGAGGTAAACTCCATTAAGATATTAAAATATATAACCTTCCATCTGTCATGTACAGATCAGGTTTCAGTCTGCTGTTAGGTTTTCAGAGAACTCTTCTATATAGTATTTGTGCATTGAGTAGAAAGATGTGTATAATAAAAAGACAGAATTGATGACATTCTTGAATTACTAGCATTTCTTCTCTTATTTAAAGATACCCTCATTTTCAACAAAATCAAGAATATATATATATTTATATATAATATATATTTTCCTGAAGAAGTTGTATTTATCCTTTTAGGAATATTGCTTTTGTCTGCCCTCTGACAAATTTTTGACAGGTAAAGCCGGTGTCTGTGTTTTTTTAAATTTTTCAGGAGCAGAAGACAGGATTTCATTAGGAAGGACATGATGTTGCAAGCTAAAAAGCTGGCTTGGTTGATGTCAGCAGATAGGGATAAAGTGGCAGTAAATGACAGCAGCCAGGGAGCGTGCTTGCAACCCAGAGAAGAAGATCTGAAGGTGTCTACTTGACCATCATCCTGTTTCTGAGAAGAGCATCTGGAACATTGCACCTGAATCCGGGTGGGATACAAGGGTGATCTGGCAGGGTACTTTTGCACTTGGGGCCTTGAAGCAGACTCAGTGAACACTGAGGAGGGGGAGGAATGAGACTCTGTTGTCTGATAGAATAGCTTCAGAAAAGAAAGTACTTCTGTTTCTGCAGCTGCAAATAACAGTACAGTGGATCACCTTAAAATATGAATATATAGCAAATACAATCACTCATTTCTTTCCTGTGACTAATGTCCTCTGTTCATTGAGGTACTGAGGGGTTTTAGAAAAATAATTTTGCTGGTTCTGTTTATATTGTACAAATTGTACCTATTTCAGATGGGAATTTGACAACAGAGATGCTGTCAGCTCCTTTAAAACCCAGGAAGAAACTGAAAGACCTGGTATCTAACCTAAGACCTGCCCCAGAAGGAGAACTGGATATCTTCAGACAGAAGGATAGTTCTCATGACAGTAACTTCTCCTATCTCAGGCTGAATGAAAGTGGGATAAGCATCTCATATGTATGCCTTTTTTTCTAAAGTTTTTCAGATCTTGAATTCCTATTTGTGATAATTTTTTGCTTGGAGCAAATCACTGAATGTATAGCAAGAAGTAGAGAAGAAGACTAAATACCTCCAAGTTTAGCAAGTGCACAGCCTCACAAATACCTAGCTATCCCCCAAATAGGGAGCTTGAACACCAAACTCAAACCAGCCATTTCTACAGCACATCAATGGTCTTCCTTCAATTTCTGCCATACTGAGTTTCAATTGTTTTTGCAGACCTCTTCATGATCTTCCACTTCATATTTAAACAAGCTTTTATTTAGATTAACGTCTAAAATCTTGATTTCAGAAAACTATATTATCAAACACCATACTTAACTAAACAAAGTATTTGCCAAGTAGATTTAAAAGATATCTTAAATTTAAAGTGTTAAATTTAAAACATGATTTAAAGAAAATACTGAAAGCATTATTAGGACTTTACAGTAATACCCAAATAATTGTGTCAGGACATAAGAGCCAAATTAATTAGTATTTTAAATTCTTAAATTAATAAGGCAAAGTCTTTTACATTTGAAAGTTCACACTTTCCACTTCCATTATCCACACTATCCATTTCCTTAGGTTATAATATTTTCAGCATTATTATGTAAAATATTTATGCTAGTTGAATTAAACTTCAACAAATTGTATATGTTCCTTGTAAACACATTTTACCAGCACTATATTTCAATAAATAAGGAATGCATCCTCTTGTGTGACAAGAGCTGTTCCAACAACTCCAGCTATCGTAAATCACACTTACAGTGATTGAAGCCATCTAATTTTCACAAAAAAGCAGTGGAAAATTAATTTAAGAACACATTTTGTTACACATATGTTTGCAATCAAATTGTTGTTTTGAATTACTTAATTAGAACAGTTTGTCATATTTTCTGGAAACTAGCATAATAGTAGTGTTGAGACCACAAAAGTCAGAAAGGGATTAAAAGGACTGTGAGTGAAAGGAAAACAGCAAGTGTTTTAAAATTCACAGAGTTTAACAGTTTTGGAAAAAATTAATCATCAATTCCAGTCACACATCCCTGTGTGTGAAGACACATATATGTTTCCTTATGGTGAGAATTGTAAACTGGTTTTTTTGAATGTCTTTCATCCTTAGTAAACTGTAATTACGAAAACTGTAATAGCTCAGTAGTTGAACTATGCTACATATCTCACAGTGGTACCACACAGAACAAAGGAAAAACATACAGTCATTGCCGTGGCTTTGCCTCCATGGGATTTTCCACTTGGAACTTTAGTTACCAACTGTGTTCCTTAGAAGTCCTTCCAAAACATTATGGGAGGAAGATTGAGGGAAACATCACAGCACGACAAACGTCAGTTGTGATGATCAACAAAAGTTTCTGGAATTCAAATTAAAGTCATTTGCTGTGACCTCTGCTGATACTGACAGAGCAGATTTCTCCATTCAGACCTGTTTGAAAACAGACTCTGACCTGCAGGCTCTCTACACTCACATGCCTAACTAGCCAGCAGTTCATCTTGAGAGGAATTTTGAAGTCTGCCAGACATAACTTTATTTCCTCACAAGCTCACTAACTTTTACTCAAATGCATCATCTCTTCCAGTTTCAGGTTTCATGGTATCAGCATTGATATGGCCATACCACAGAGCCCCATTTCTTCAGACACATCCATTCATATTTAGATAAAAACTGAGGTACTGAACACCTTCTTTACCTCAGTCTTCAACAGTGAGACTGGTTAACTCCTGGGAAAGTCTGCCTAAGTCTACCTACTTAGATGGTAGACTGGGACTACTTGGGAGCAGACTAGACCTCCTGCTATCCAAGAAGAGGTAGCTAGTGACCTCCTGTGTGGAATATGGAGTTATATTTGTTGAAATTCATCTGCCTGAAAGGAGGCTGTAGCCAGGTGAGGGTTGGCTTCTTCTTCCAGGCAAATGGGCGACACAATCCTCAGGCTGTTCCAGGGGAGGTTCAGGTTGAACATCAGGAGGAATATAATCATGCAAAGGGTTGTAAACACTGGAACTGTCCAGGGAAGTAGTGGTGGTTGAGTCCTCATCCCTGGAGTTATTCAAGAAAGAACTGGACGTAGCATTTATTGTCATACTCTAGTTGACAAGGTGAATTCAAGTCAAAAGTTGAATTTGATGGGCCTGGAAATCTTTTCTAATGTAAATGATTCTGTCATTCTGTGATTTATATTTTCTATTATAGCTCTAAGTTCTCTTTTAAAGAGATATGAGTATCAGTTGGCTAAACTAATGAGGAAAAAAAATACATTTGTATTTTCCTTGCTCTTATACAGACTAAGGAGATACATTTTTCTAATTTTTCAGCAGCTGAAGCTCCCACCTTTTCAGACCATTATTACTGTCTTCTGCCAAGACAGTTCCCTTTAAACATGCTGTCACAACAGCAGCATCACATAAAAATATTTTGTGTTTCTTTATACAGAGCTTTATGTTCCGTGAATATCTAACACTATAAGCCTAATATGGAAGCTTAACCACACATTGAACATACATCCAAATAATCAATGTAGCTCAAGGCATTTTAAACATCAAGGAACAATACACAAAGAATACATCAAAGAATAATACATGTATTACTGGGGCAGCTCTAAAATATATTTAGATATTTTTAAAAAAATCTGATGTCTCACGAGGTGCTCATATTCATTGAGAAAACTAACTGACATTGCAGAACATGAAAATAGAAATGTAAGTGTCCTTTAGGATCTCAGTAAATACTTGCATACGAGAAATTAATGAAAAATGGAAATTTCTTCCCACCAGAATTTTACTATAAAGAACTACCCTGCAACTGAAGAGAATTCAAAGCCAGGAGTTTCTTTGCTGTTTTCTTGAACTCTTGCTTTAGAACCAGAAATCAAAAGCAGATTCTGTCCCCTTTTCCCCTTCCAGTTTTAGTATCTTTGAAGTATGTTTTCAATCCATTTGTCTTAAGACCTCTTTAATGTCACACCAATTAGTCAGATAGGCAGATTGAGAGCTGGGAGAAAGCAAACACTTGGTTATCACTTAGAATGAAATTCTCTATTCTTTCCTGACAGACACATTTTCCCTCTTTCCCCTGTAAATGGAAAAAAAAGAAAAAAGAAGAAAAAAGAAAAAGTGTGAGCTTTCTTGGGACACAGTAGAATTTGACAGAAAATCTCCATTCAAATACAACTTGCTTCACTTACAACTCAATGGTGGGAATTTATGTTTTGAAGCTCTATATGTAAGTTAACATTGATTTGATTTGTTTTTTTCCTCAAGTGTAAGAATACAAAACAATTTACAAGAGTCAACAATCTGCAGCTACAGGTGTGTCATTAGTAAAATGCAAACACTTGAAATAAATAGAAAAATAAATTAGGAATAGCACAGCCAATATCATCATCAGTCTCTCTTATGTCCTTTTTATCAAAAACTGAAGGTGTCTGCCAGATACTGACTAAAATATTTGAAATTTTTTTGCATAGTACTCAGAATCAGTAGTGAGTTTGAATCACAGATGGAGTGAAATAGATAGCTCTTGTCTCTGTCTTAGTTACATATGTCTTTACTCAAACAGAAATTACAGTTATCATGTCTGTAGTATGGCTTTTTTTCCCCATCAGCTCAGTCTTTAGATTAAACACTTCTCTGGTAAGGAGAGATGGTTGTATTCTTCCTTCCTCTTCTCTTTCCTTTAGTCTAAATTAAAAAATATATTCTGAAGCTTACTTTTATTTTTATACCCTCTGGAGACAGAAGGAATTATATTAGAATTTAAGTGATGGAGAGCACTGGCAAGACTAAATCTGTTTTAAAAGGAAGAGGCTCAGGAGAAAAATATTAACAGCATAAAATAAAAAACCCAAACCACTTAAAACCAAAAGCAATTTTCAGGATAATTTTTAATTCTTGTGTTCCCAAAAGCAGCTGTCCTTTCAAGAAACTGGCCATTTTTTTGTTTTTAAGGAATCTATCTGACTCCAAATGAAGCATTTGTTTCTCTGTTTCTGTTTTGAAGCAGAAAACACACGACTCCTGTTTGATGCCTGAGTATGAAAAAGGCAAACAGCAGCAGTCTGTTGGGGAAGAGATGATGTCAAATGGAAATCAGTGGTTATTTATTCTTGAAGCTAAGTAGTAGGGAATTTACAAAATGAATAAAAAAATAAGGGGGTTAATGTGTCAGCAGGTTGTATTATCTGTCTCCTACTGTTACATTTCTTGAAACATCTTCCCATGTGTCTGCCAGTGCTCCAAGAGACATAGCTAGTTAAACATATGAACTTTTCTGAGGTACTTATACTCAGCCCAATGTGCATTTCAAGTTTGTGAATCTTTGGGAGGTTATTCAACAAGAAGTCTGGTAGAATTAGTGAATAATTGCTGTAATAAAGATCAATTAGAGAATAAATTTGCTATTCTATGGCCTCAGAATCATAAGCACATATTGACTGGGCTGGGAAAATTTTAATCTTCCAAGTCTGATACTTTTTCTACATGATGCTGGCTTAAGAGACAATATATTAGCATCCTGTCATTGCACATAAGCTCAGTAAGCTTCAGTGGTGCAATAAATGCCAGATCCATTAAACAGAGAGGAGACTTCACTGATATGAAGTAGGTTGGTCCCTTCTCCTTGTGTCATATGCACTCTTTGAGATTCAGGATTGTTAAAATGAGGTGGAAAGACAATGGTGTACTAGCACTCCATGAGTCTGTCTAGCTGAATCCTAAACTACATCAATAATGATATTTTTTTTCTAATTTTGATGAAGATGCCACATGAAAATGCTTAAAGTTGTGGATAGATTCTACAAGAGAATATTTTAGGTGACTATGTAATTATATGTTGATTAAGCAATCAGACATCCTGTTCCTTTATTATTACATGCTATTAGACTTGTTGTCTAGAAATTGTCGCATGTATAGTAGGAAACTTATCTTAAGACAGAGTAATAGTAATTTTAAATGGTGAGTGGGGGACTCCTGCTTATAATATCTCGGCTGGGGATTTCTGGGGAAAATAGATAGTGTTGAAACTGAAGAGAGAGATAGGCCGCAGGGCTAGATTTCTGTATCTTTCTCAAATTTTCTCTGAAATTTCTCTTTATTCCTTTTTTTTGTTTGTTTTTAATATTAGAATATACAATTGGCTTTAATCCAGGAAATTCTTCTCCTCTAAAAGAGTGCTTGGGCACCTGTTGCTGAAATGGATGATAAGCTGCAAGTCATTTCTAACTGAACATGGGAAAATAACAAACTCAATTCATTATGATCATCTATGGTGAGCTAAATAACAACTTAGCATCCTCCTAAAGAAAGACCCATGGCACTAAATTAATCTTACTTCAAATAAATGTTCTGCAGAGAAATGAAGACCTAACAGTAGACTTGTGGACATGTGGACATGTGGACAGCACTTTGCTTATGCATACATTTTGTTAACTGTTTCCAGAGAGAACAGTATAAAAATGAAGAGGGTGGATTTAAAATAAAGAAATTTCCACACCACAGCTAGCCAGTATTAATTCTGCTGGACACACTGGAAAGAGATATATTATTTTGGTGCAGAAATTAGAAAATGTTTTCCAAGCTCCCAGAAATTATTGACATTTTCCACATAGTGACAGAAAGCAGAAAAAAAGGTTGTAAAAGTAAACGGGGTTTTATTTCTTATGAAAGATTATTTTTTAAAATGCATTCTAGACACATTCCAAATTGAGCAATATTTTGCAGGACAGGTACTTCCCATGTGTAATGGATCCAGACTCTATTTCCACCAAGACTAGTGAAACTTTTCATTGAAAAAGTGATAAAAAATTGCAAGTAGGCTATCATCCATTGTCTTTTAATTTTTGATACATATGCAAAGAGATCATCAGCCGTCTATAAACTAAAAGGAAGCTTTTTTAAAAGAGAATGTCACCTCTAATTCTTTATTTAGCTTGTGTTTTCTGCCTTCCTGGGTGGGAAAGTTAAGCCTTTAGAGCCCACAGAATGGAAAGTGTTATGAAAATATGAAATACTACAACTTTGAAATGTTCAAAAAAAGATTTAGCATGGTTATAAATCAGATCCAGCACCTGTTTGCTAGGTACTTGGTGACATATTTCAATTATATGACTGGGATATTGCAAGTAGCACCACATAAAATACAAATGTTTGTTTGATGGATTGGGCAAAACAAATTGTTAGAGGATAAAAATGTTATCCCAACCAATAGGCTGATGGAGCTTTTGTAAACTGCAGTACTACATTAGAGAAAGCATCTTGTACTGCATTCCAGAAAACTTCAGATGATCTCCCATTAATGATTTTTTTTCTTAGTGAACATTATTGTCTTGACTGAAAATAGTATTTTGACAGAAACAAGACTGGACCCCATTTTGGAGGAAAAAAACAAGCTTGCTATGACTATTTCCCTAATGTTATATGAAGCCACTGCCAAATGTTAAGTAATTGACCATTTAAGAAAAAGGATTCCCCTAACTTCCCCTATATATAATTTCTGTGATAGTCAAATCCCCCATGAGAGAAGGCAGAGAAAGAAAAAGAGATAATTATATATGTTAGTTTCCATCAGGTAAGATGTAGAATTTTTCTTCACATGACAGTGAAGATACTCAGAGAAAAGCAACAAGATGATATGTCAGCTGTCAGTGATAAGCAGCTCCAGTTCTACCATACAGATATGACAGGACTGGGAGCATACGGTGTTATGTCCTGTGAGTGAAAATGTAGTGGCACTATCAAAGTTCCTGTACGCCAAGGCATGAGGTCAAGTTTTCACTGCAAAGACAAATTGCTTTTTCTGAAATATTCTGGATATATTCTGCCTTAAGTATTTCCATGCAAATGCTGTATTTGCAATAGCACAGTAGGTGTTTATCCCAAACCCAACGGGGCTGAATACAGGAAACCAGGGCATCAGAGGTATAAAATGTTAGCTGTACTTGTATCCGTCAGCATCAGAATTACAGTGGTTTTCTTACTTTGGTATATATAAGAAGGAGTTAACTTATTTCATTTAATCCCTGGCAGAAGTCAGAGAAATCCACTTTATTGTCAACTGTTACATTAAGCAGATACCTGAATGGTTGTAATCTATTAAGTTCTGTTCCATGTTTAATCTTGCAGAAGTCCACATGCTGCAAATGCACTCTCCAGGCACCTGCTTACAGTACAGACCCCTGCAGCTGGAACAGGATGTGGGACTAGAAATAATTTCTCCTTTCAAACATTTTAAGTCAGACTGTGAGTAAGCTTCATGTTCTGTGAATCCTACACAAAAAGAGTCAAGAGATTTGATCGTGTGAGTGCCCACAGCCTACCACATGTTAACATTCCCTCCACGTGTTAAAGGAGTGTGCAGTGCAGAGTTCTGGTCCAGGGCACAGACCTGCACCACTGTTTCCTCTCCTGTAACCTTCATCTATGTCCTGGGAGCCTGGGTTTCCAGGCCACTCACTGATCATAAAGTATATCTTTTTGCGACAGGACACAACTGCATTGTTAGGCTTTTCAAAATGTATGTAAACCAACTTTGGCTAAGCCTTAGGATCAAGCACAGAAAGACAACAAAGAAAAAAGTGTTTTGAAGTATTTTAAGAAGTATCTGTGCCTTCTTTTCCCAGTACAAAAGTCTTTAAAATAACTGTGAGAAGCAAAAAGAGATATTTCTGGCAGTTAAATGTAATTCTTTCACTCTGAGTATCAAATGATCTTGAAGTGATATCTTTGAGTGGTTTAAGAAAGTATAGATTCTTTATCGATCTAATAACTTTACTGAATTTTTTTCTGGGCTTCATTTCATCAGAAAATCCATTATTAAAAAAAGACCATGGTGCTCTTATGTCAAGGTCATGGGTTTGATCCCTGTACAAGCCATTCACTTAAAGTTGGATTTTGTGATCATTAGGGGTCGCTTCTAACTCAGAATATTTTGTGGTTCTGTGGTTCTGTGCTAGTTACTCCAAAAAATAGTATCTTCAGCAAAATATGATTCAGTCCATGAAACCACGGGGAACCTATATGAAACTATATGAAACTCTTAGTGCCCTGCACAGATTTACCTATGACATGATAACCATCCTCCTTCTTTCCTAACCCAAAACTCATTTAGGGTCACCTCAAGTGCTAGGGGCTGTTTTTGGCTGCCACAATACTAAAAAGACATATTTATGAGAGGGGTGTGCAAAGCAGGGCAATGAAGAAGGTGCAGGGGAGGGTAGGCCAGACAAAGGATGACTGAGGTCACTTGGTCTGTTCATCTTGGAAAAGGGAGACTGAGGGGAGACCTCACTGCAGTCACAACTTCTTGTGAGGGGGAGAGGCAGTGGTGACCCAAGGAAATGGCCTGAAGATGTGTCTGGGGGGTTTAGTTTGGATATTAGGAAAAAGATTTTCACCCAGAGGGTGGTTTTATTTCCATGGCTCCCCAGGGAGACGGTCACAGCACCGGCCTGACAGCGTTCAAGAATTTTTTGGACAATGCTCTCAGGCACACTTTGTGCCATGTTGTGGCTGTCCTACATAGGACCAGTCATTGGACTTTCATGATCCTTGTAGATCCCTTCCAACTTAGGATATTCTATTCTGTGAAAAATCCTAATTTTAGATACACGTTTTGCATATCTACTTGTTTTATCCTCTCACCTGTGAAACAAAATGGCATTATGAAATATGCCATTTCTTTGTCTCCTCTACTGGAATTTTCATAGCTATTTTACTAGTTAATTGTCTTATTTCTCTGCCTATTTTACTTTCTTACTGCTCACTGTAAGTATACTTTATTTAAAGAAATCTTTATAGGTGCTTGAAATATACCCTGTAATTCTACACTTACTCTTTCCTTTTGGTTTTTAACATTTTTATGACTCCTAATGTTCTCCCTTTCCAGATTGTTTCTGTTACCAAAAAACCTTTTGCGTATTACTTATATTTTTTATATCCTCCAACCCCTTTGGCCTCTGTTTCCCCATTTCCTGTCTAAGTTTAAAAGGAATTAATTTCTACTATAACATCTACAAAAATATTTCTGTCTTTTCCAGTGTTCTGATGGTGACCTCACAGATACGAAAAGATTCAACAGTAAGACTTCAAACACTTTTCAGTCATCTGCTATGCTATGAGTTTTGGATAGATTCACTACCATCAATGAAACACATCATTTTTTTGCACTGTTTTTCTTATGCTATAGTCTGGCTGCATATATCTACAGCTAAATGCTACTTAAAGAAATGGAAGGGGGAAAATATTCAGGGGACCGAGCACAGTTGTGTTATGTGCTTGCTGCAAGTCCTGTCTGTGGAGTTAGCAATGGTCCCTGACCGTCTGAAGCAGCTAATTACCAGTGTCTGTTCCCCAGCTCTGCATGTATGAACTCAGAGCAATGCCTTACCTTCTTGTTTAGTGGCACCCTTTTGGTACCTGCTCTGTGTCAGGTTGTGAGATGCAAACCCTCAAAGTAGAACCCTCAAAGTAGTAAAGTCCTATACTTTATGGATGAAAATAATCATGGGTTTAGGTTCCTGATGGAACTTGCCACACAGTCGGAATCTTGTCATTTAAAAAGGAAACTTAGGCAAGAAATCTTGTTACTTCTACGCTATTCTTATCTCTGGTTTTTTGTTTTGTTTGTTGGTTTTGTTTTTTTTTGGAGCTCTGTTGTGAAAGCATTTATTAAACTGAAGTTAATTCATTGTGGGGCTTTTTGGGTGCTATGGTCCACACATTACTCATTTTTTATATTAATTTAATGGAAGAGGTTTTATTTTGAATTAAAATTCAAGTCACCATTGTTGGGGTATTTAAAAACTCAGTCAATTATATCAAGAAAATATCTTCACAGCATCTTGGGTGTTTTCTACTTTGTTTCAGTGAATTTTACTTCAATTCAAGGACCAAAGAAAGACCACTGGTCCCAGGTTGCTATGTCAATATTACACAAAGAATTTGGAAAATTTAAATCTTCCAGTTCAGTTTATTGTTACAACATCAGCAATAGTTTCAGTCATCCCGTGGAGCAGGCACAATCACAGTAAAACATCAGTGTAGATGCACTGACGTTTTGGGAAGGTGAACACAGGTAGACTCATTTCATAGCATTTGCTAAGAAAGAGGAGCAAGTAAGTTTAGAGACTTTCCCACAGTCACTTTTCCAAAGCACAGAAATAGAAAACCTCACACATAAATATGAGTCTAAACAAAAACACTCTGAGCACACTTGTCCGTATATAAAATACAGAAGGATACAAAAATCAGACCCCATCAGATGACAACTCTGAGATACTATGAAATCATATTCTGAAAGAAGAAACTGTGATGGAAATATAAATTTACATGATGATATACTATAGTTCTGTGTGACATGGATGCATTTGCATGATAAAATCTCAATTATGGTATTAATAAAGATGTATCTTTAATGAGTAGATGCTCCTGTTCTGATTGCACAGTGACAGAAATTTTACTGTGTATATTTGATTTCCTTTGTTTGAAATAAAAGGTGCAATAATGTAATTTTTTTTTGTTTTGTTTGGATCAATTGTGTCATAAAACTAAATAATTATGCATTAAATTTCCTATGATAAGCGAGAAGTACTTGTTACATGTATTCGGACAATAATTTAAACACATTAAATATGTATGATTATTATGAGTGTCCTGAACAGCTATTTGGATATGTTCCAGAAGCAAAATTGTCTCTATTTCTGAATAAAATTATTCAGATTAAAAATGAGGAGGAATTGGAATTCCAGCAATAGTTCAGTGCTTCTCTAGTGGCTGGAACTAGATGGTCTTTAAGGTCCCTTCCAACCCAGATAATTCTATTGCTCTATGATTCAGAGCCATCAGTCCTTCCTTCCTTCCTTTCTGATAAATAGTCAATCAAAGATGCCATCTGTGAAAATTAAATGGAATATATTCTGGTCTCTGATTTAGAAATGGAAAGAAAAAAGGCAAACAGAGATGATTTGAGAAAGCAGGTTAACAACCACTTTAACATGGAAGGAGAAAAACTAAGGAGGTAGAGTTGGAGACTCTCAATCACCAAACTATAGGGTCATAAATATGCAGAAAGAAAAGAATCTTGGAAGAAATACACATATTCCTGTACATCCTTTAAAATGGTATCTGAAGGTATTTTGAGAATAGTACAGAAGCCTCAGGTTCATTACTCCACAGCATCAGATTAACATCTTTATCAAGGTGCTATACTTACAATGTGTGGACTACTCCTGTAAGGTGAATGGACTCTGCTCCTGTGGAATAATGCATTACTGTGGAATAAGAACAAACTTTTTTATACTTAGTTATCAACAACAGGTTGGAACACCTCTGAAGCATGCTCTTTCAGATAGCTTTGGAATATATTCAGGGGAAAACATGTCAACTGCTTGAAAAAGAAATCTCTTTGTCATTTATTAAAAGGCTTGTAAAACACTATTCCTCAGAGGATGATTCACATAGTAAAAAAAGACTGAGGGACTGAAGAAAAGTTTTTAGTTAGGGGCAGCTTCCTCTTCATCAAAAAATCATCTCCCTGTCTCATTAAACTAGTCATGATTGAACAGCTCAGCAACCATTTTGGTTCTAAATAACCTCTACTTTTTCATTAAGGGAGCTGTCAGAAATGACCATAATCCCTAATCTGCAAAATTGTTCATTAGTCCTCTCCAACTCATCCACATGGTTGGCCAGATTTCTACCCTCCAAAATTACAGCAATAAAACATGTCATTATGAAGAGGGACAAAATTCTCCACATCTGATGCATGAACATCTGCTGTTTGCAACCTAGATGAAAGTCCTCTGGTTTTGGCTCAGTGACAGTGAAGCTGTGATATCTAGGTCTCCTGTTGTTGGGGGACAAAACTTAGAGGGATATGTCAACATGTGAACCAGCAGCAGGGTTTAGATAAAACAGATTTAACCAAAAAAATAATAATAATAAAATCCTCTAACCTACTCCATTTTTCCTCAACTATTACTTCCATTTGTTACTATCAAGCAAGCTTTTAAGATTTCACCCTGGGGTAAATTACCATGCTGTCATGAACAACATAATCTTATTATCTGTATGAAAATAAAAAAGGAAATAAAAATTTCTTGTTTATAAAAGCTGTATATACATCTTTTTCCCTCATGAAAACAAGAAATTGCAAGGTAAAGACAAAGAATCAATTTTTATATTTTTTTAAGGACTTTTAGGTGAATGTGACAGTTAACAGAGAAGAATAGTATAAAAATATTAATCCGGCATTCAGATTAGTAAAGGGATGTTTCTCTATTCATAAAAAATTATTTGCAAATTGTGTTTTCTCAAAAGAACGTAAGATTGCCTTAATATGGAATCAAACCAGTGAACTGGAAACTTTTTCCTTTAAAGTTTTAACTTTTCTCGAGGTTTGCTGTCCTCTGTTCTCTATTTAGTGTGCCAGATTTAAAGATTCAGAACACTTACTAGGCAATTCAGGAAGGTCACACATTCTGTCTTACAGCTCACAACAGCCATGGTACTAGCCCCATCCCATGCTAGCTATGTGGGAGATGAAGATGATATAAAACAAAACCCATGATTATCAGCACCATGCACATCAAAGGCCAGGCTTGAGTATCTTCTATTCTTGATATAATACAAGGGAGCTGTGCATTACTCTTTAAATAATCATCCAGAAAGCTACTTGTTCTAGCAATTAATCTGTATTTTCAAAAGTCTTGAAAAGTAGAAGATTTGGGCCTTAAAAAACTCTGAAAATATTTCAAGAGTTCAATTACCAGAAGAAATATGAACATATTAAGATATTTCTCTCTTTTCTCCTCTGTCTTCAAAAAGGGTAGATAAGAATGCTTATATAATCTCTAACCTGTAACTCTAAACTCTGTACATATGTTATGTTGGGGCAACATAAATAAATTCCAGATGAAATCTAGCTATAAGAATCAATCAGGTACTAAAGTTAGAGTAGGTGCATCTAAGGATTCATCCAGTGGGTTTCATTCCAAGGTTTAGTGAAAATAACCAGTGCTTGAATGTGCAGTATTGAACTACCATAGCCAGACATCAGCAAATGCCACTAATCAGGAAAGTCCAGGCTAGATTCAGCATCACATAACCTCCGTTTCAGAGCATATTAACATTAGAGAAAAACTTAGCAATTGATAGGATAATTGCAAAAGACCAGGTAGGTTGTCTCTTTTCCTGCTAGACTCTTAAACCTTTACTTCAAAGCTATTTTTGCAGATTCTTATGAACTGCTGACATTAGATTTCTAGACCTCTTAAACTTACCCTAGCTTCCAAAAAGGGTACCTAGGAGCTGTAATGGTTTTCCAGTCTTTGGAAATATTCTCAAAGATTGCTTTTTTAAGATGGGATAGTCACAAGTCTGAAACTTTCAAGTTGCTTGTGTCCCAGACAAAAGGTTCACCCTGGAACAAACCCAGAAACCTAACTTCAGACCCCCAAAACTGTGACATTTTGGAGAGCTGTAATACAAACAATAACAAACCCCTAGATAAAAAACACCTCAAAACAAGCAAAACCCACCATTTTAATAATCTGCTCATTTTCAAGATGATATATACAGAATTCCTGTGTTGATTGAACAAGGGAATGTACTGCACCAGGATACTCAAAGTGAATTTTTAGGGGATAAGGAAGGTTTCTGATTGGCTTACTGGTACACTACAGGCATTCTGTATTCTCTACAAGTGAATATCTCAGATGATTGTTTAGCAGATTATAAGCACCTTGCTACATAGGAGTGTGGTTATCCCATTTTCCAGAGGAGACATGAACCTCTGTTGGCCAGCAGGTACCCAGCCCTGCAGGGTCAGAACTGAACATAGCTCAGCATTCGTTGCTTGCTGAATAAATGAGAGATAAATTGAACTGTCAAAAATAAAGACAGAAGATATAAGCAAAGGTTTCATTTGGAAGGTTTGCACACACTTGTAAGAAGAAATTAGGCCCTTTCATAATCATTCTCAGCTTCGACTGAAAATGGAAACCAGTCCCCCCTTGCCCCTACACTACACACAAGTATACGTGACAGACTATAATCCTAGTGTAGGCTATTTTATTTTGTACCATCACGTTCTCATATACTTGCCTCCAGGCTGCATGGTTCTCTTTTTAGAGCTCTTGTTTTTAACTTGCTGCACACATATTTTTAACTGTATGGTTCTACAAACACAGTTAGGTTATTTGTGCTACAAAATAGTGCCGGAGTGTTGTAGTTAAATTCATTCTTCCCTTTGCAAACGCTTCAAGACAGAATTACCAATAGTATCACGTTTTGTGACTCAATAATGGAGGGGAAGCCAAACAGGGCACCATATTACAGGGGTTGCAATTTTGAATTCATAAATATTCAGGTGTTCCTGAACTCTTTGATTTTTTCCTGAGCTGTATCAGTGTAATCTATTAATCTGAAGTGGGATTTAATGTGCCTAGTGAAACAGGAGGGGTTCGTTTACATGAATTACAGTCAACCAAAGAGAAAAAAACACTTTTTCCTCAAGACAGGCAATTATTAGAAAAGAAAGTTAATATATTTATTTCATAGAATAGGAAAATTATCATTCCTACAAAACCAATCTTCAGGATATTCTTTCAAAGGATGCCACGGATGAAAATATTGTTTGTACTGTGGCAGAAGTTTCACCTATTTTCTGGCAACTGTATGGTGTTCATCACAAAGTGGTGCATGGAAGGCTTAACTGAACATGACTGCTTCACTAAGCATGCTTCCAAAGGATGCATTTGAGCCTGGGAGAAAGTAGAGGTATGCTAGAAAGAACATTAGGAGTTAAGTGAGAGTTCATTAAAATGATAGTTGATGGAAAAATGGAAAGGGAAAATGGGTTTATGGCTGACAAATTAAAAAAAGCAGATTAGATTAGTGAAATAACAACAGGTTACAGGGTGAAAATAAAAAGATAAGAAATTACTTCTTGTAGCAAAATTCTGACTCGTCTAAGCAAAGCCACAGAAAAGGGTGCTGCAAAAACTGAAATATAATATGATAAAAGTCTGGAGGAGAGTTTTAGCCATATGGCTACTTGGGAAAGAAATATCCATACCACCCACATCTGAAGTTATTATACTCACAAAAGCATCAGGTTTTTGAGCATGTTCCAGATTTGAAAATCTAGAAATTGAAGAAGAATGTCACAACCACATTATATATTTGAGTGATAGGCTGGATGGTAGTACCGTCAATGCCAATCAAGAAATAGAGAAAAGGGAGTGAGAAAAAATAGAAGGCTTTGATTAGACAAGGAGAGGAAAGGAGAAGAGAAGCTGATCTGCAAGTTGTTGTCATAGAGATATTCATTAAGTTCAGGTTTATAGATTAGATCAAATATAGGGAGAAAAATTCAGGAATTGCTTGAAGAATCATTGAATTTCCTTCTGATGCTACACAGGTAAAAGAACAATGATAAATACTGTAGATGACTTAGTAGATTGGACAGAGTACTGTAAATCAATAAAGGAC